AGACTATTTAACACTCGAACTAATTACTTAATTAAGTGGAATTATCATTTATCTCTATATATTTTGCTATCTTTTGCCTTGGTGTCACCCCCTAATCGGTGTCACCCGGTGCGGTTCGCCCCCCCCGCCTACCCTCCCCCCCCCCACTCGCTACGCCTCTGTGTTATCCTATCTTTATTAAATCTATATTACATTTTGATGAAAGTTAACCCCAAGTTGTGTTTCTGGAGCGATCCACATTCTGGATAGTTCTTGCAAGATATGGAAATTTCGTAAACCGGAAATAGAATTCGGCTTTTATATTGTTAATCGTGTCAAGGACGCATCTATTTTAGGACACCCGTGGGTTGATGGTGCAAACACTCACGTGAAATTTTGTGAACAAAATAAAGTTCACCCCCATTCTCCAAGAATCGAGTGTACGAGATGAAGATAATGAAATTAAAAACTGACAGATTGATCCCAGAGAGAGATTATAAGACAGAATACCCAATCTTGTTGCAAGCGAAATCTATGGCTCTGCGCTTTATTGGGGAGCTTCGTGTTGTCTAAGTTAATAGAGTCGGCCTGGCTTCCAGAAACTAACTGGCACGCTAATTTCGGAGACACATATTTCAATGGTCTTGGTTAGTGATTTTTTTATAACAGATTTACTAAATCCATCATTTTTTTCAACAGCACCTTTGTAAAGTAGATATTTCTTCAATATATATATATATATATATATATATATATATATATATATATATATATATATATATATATATATATATACATATATATATATATATATATATATATATATATATATATATATATATATATATATACTTAACTATATTGCTTCCCTATATATATATATATATATATATATATATATATATATATATATATATATATATATATATATATATATATATATACACTTAACTATATTGCTTCCCAGAATCCGACTGTTCGAACTCCATTTTCACCATTTTGTACTAAACCTACCGGGGTACCTTTGTAAGAAGAATGTGGAGATATCTGATACTATTTTTACACAACATTTGAACTTTACCATTTGCTAAAAATAGAAATAAAACTTTAAAGCCTTGACCTAGTTGTAAGCATTTTTATATAGCAAACTGGCAAGCTACTTGCTTAAATTTTAGCAACTGTTTCCTACATCATACTTTGATTTAAAAAAGACCGTATCAAACAGCAGAACATGGAAAGTAAAGTAGTTTGGGGCAGGGGTAGGGAGTAATTGGCCAGAAACCTCCTACAGGTTTGGCTCTCTCTCCAGTCGAAGTGAGTATCGCTCACTCCATTGTTGGGTCTGGTCTGTCCAAGTGAGTATCGCTCACTCCATTGTTGGGTCTGGTCTGTCCAAGTGAGTATCGCTACCTCCATTGTTGGGTCTGGTCTGTCCAAGTAAGTATCGCTCACTCCATTGTTAGGTCAGGTCTGTCCAAGTGAGTATCGCTCACTCCATTGTTAGGTAAGGTCTGTCCAAGTGAGTATCGCTCACTCCATTGTTGGGTCTGGTCTGTCCAAGTGAGTATCGCTACCTCCATTGTTGGGTCTGCTCTGTCCAAGTGAGTATCGCTCACTCCATTGTTAGGTAAGGTCTGTCCAAGTGAGTATCGCTCACTCCATTGTTGGGCCTGGTCTGTCCATGTGAGTATCGCTCACTCCATTGTTGGGTCTGGTCTGTCCAAGTGAGTATCGCTACCTCCATTGTTGGGACTGGTCTGTCCAAGTGAGTATCGCTCACTCCATTGTTAGGTCTGGTCTGTCCAAGTGAGTATCGCTCACTCCATTGTTGGGTCTGGTCTGTCCAAGTGAGTATCGCTACCTCCATTGTTGGGTCTGGTCTGTCCAAGTGAGTATCGCTCACTCCATTGTTAGGTCAGGTCTGTCCAAGTGAGTATCGCTCACTACATTGTTGGGTCTGGTCTGTCCAAGGGAGTATCGCTCACTCCATTGTTGGGCCTGGTCTGTCCAAGTGAGTATCGCTCGCTCCTCTACATTATTGTGCCTGGTCTGTCCAAGTGAGTATCGCTCACTCCATTGTTGGGCCTGGTCTGTCCAAGTGAGTATCGCTCACTCCATTGTTAGGTCAGGTCTGTCCAAGTGAGTATCGCTCACTCCATTGTTAGGTCAGGTCTGTCCAAGTGAGTATCACTCACTCCATTGTTAGGTTAGGTCTGTCCAAGTGAGTATCGCTCACTCCATTTTTGTGTCAGGTCTGTCCAAGTGAGTATCGCTCACTCCCTTGCTGGGTCTGATCTGTCCAAGTGAGTATCGCTCACTCCTCTACATTATTGTGCCTGGTCTGCCCAAGTGAGTATCGCTGACTCCTCTACATTGTTGGGTCTGGTCTGTCCAAGTGAGTATCGCTCACTCCTCTACATTGTTGGGTCTGGTCTGTCCAAGTGAGTATCGCTCACTCCTTTACATTGTTGGGTCTGGTCTGTCCAAGTGAGTATCGCTCACTCCATTGTTGGGTCAGGTC